ATGTTAAAGAGCATCTTTGCCATTGAATTAGTTTGTCCTTGCATGCACATGATGAATGCCTGTTACCTAGATTTTAGATTTTAAATAAAAGTTTAACATACTCTTTTCATATTTTTTTCTTTATCACTACACCTTTAGCTTCTTTTTATCGTCACATCTCTGTGACGAATGATGAAGTTGCAGCCTTGCTGGGTGGAGTCAGACTGGAGATGGTATGTGATGACATCACTAAAGCACAAACTGATGTTATCGTCAACACAACTGGCTTCCAAACCCAAAATTCTGGTATGATCTAAATAATTTTATTGCAAAGACTTTTTGAAAATAGTGTCTTTATAGTGTATTACTTTGAGTATTACTGTTATAAACTCAACAGGTGTCTCCCAAGCCATTCTGACTGCAGCAGGGCCTTCTGTCAAAGCAGAATTAGACAACGGTAAACATCAAGAACAAAAGTATCTATTTACAAAAAACTCTGAAGATGTTTGGGGCTAATGTCTCTGTTTTTCACTTTTTGTTTTCAGTGGGCANACACACACACACACACACACACACACACACACACACACACACACACACACACACACACACACACACACAAACAAAAGACAGAGTGAAGACTTTGACGAGGAAGTAAGTGAACCATTATTCAGATTAGAAGAGAAAAGAGAGGAGATACTAATCATAACAAAAACTATTCCAAATGGCTGTCATGGATGGTGATCAAAACTAACGTAAACTGCATTTTGTTTTTCTCCCAGCAGAACCTGGTGTCCAATCTTTTATCAAGCTTGTCACTAAGTGGTGAAGAATATGAACTACAGCTCGACACATATCTTATTCGATATCTGAAGGAATGTCTAAATGCCAGGTTAGAACTGGAGAAAAATCTTGCCTCTATGTCTTGCTCTGCTGAGTTTCACCCATTGGAAGATAAAGTTTTAGTTAAACAATTGGCTCAGTCTGGTGCTGTAGGTGGAGTCGGTAACTGGAAATCCAAAGTAGACGAACTGTTTGAAAGTTACACAAGCCACTATGAGTTAGACTCTCACAAAATCAAGGCTTTACTGCAATCCCTCAGCTCTCACCAAAGTGCAGATGACATAAAGGTGTACAGTGAGATTGGAATTGCCGTTCTTGTTGGAAAATGTACCCAGGTTACAGCTATGTTAAAAGACCTAGAGACATCATGTGTTATACAAAGAAAGTCATGCTCAGGTGAGACAAAAACTACCGTGATTCGACTTGGTGAGGCCAAACTTCGCCTCCTTCGGAAAGAGATTGAGCGTAGTTTGAGGGAAAACTTTTCAGAAGTGAAGGCTACTCAGCCAGGTGATGGTACATTGTTGTTAGAAGGCTCTGTGGAAGGTATCTTAAAGGCTAGTGAACTGATCACTGAAAAGGAAAATTTGTTGTTCGAGAGGACTGTTTCCAACAAGACCCCACATTTTTTGGCCTTCTTAAAACAAGTTTACGGT